TGCTGTGTGCTGTGCTCTCACACATCAGATACGAAGGATGGTCTGCGTGCGTGTGTGCGCCTGTGCTCCTGCTCTCAGACTTTTTAATTTTTCACCGAAGGATTGCTTTTCCTACATGGAATCGGAGCATGCTCGTAAAAGCCGATTTCTCTGTTCCAAACAGCAGCAGTCTCACCACTGGACCTGTGGGTGTTTTTCAGCACTGGGGGGAAGACCTTTGGTGGGGCAGACATTTGATGCTGCAAGGCCTTCTCAGCATTCTTGGCGAGGCTGGCTCTGCCGACTGAGTGAGTCATGTGGGACAGAATGTCGCATTTCAGTACCTCTTGGCTATCCGTGCACGTTAGACAATAACGATTGCCAAGCCAACGTGTCTCAGGTTTTTTAATTACGGATTTAAATGCCCACAGGAGTTCTGCTCATATGTTAATTCTACTGTTTGACTTTAAAGGATTTTTTTTTTGCATTTTCTAATTCAGATTATAAAAGGCAGTCAGCCATTCAATATGGAGACAGTTTGCCACATAAACTTGTAGAGGGGCAAGCAGGTTGGTCAAAGGGAGCTAAAGCTTTTCTGTGTTTTCGATTAAGAAGAGAAGAAGATACTTTCATTTAGGTATAATTTAAAAGACCAAAATAGACGCATTATGGAAATAACCTTGACACCTGCTTTTGGCAAGGATCTTGAAGCACTGGAGTGATCGTTTGAGTTGCAGGTGTCAGCTTTTGTGTACCTTCTGCCTGGTGTCTACGTCACATTTTGTCTGTCCTGGGAATTTTCCATCCTGGAAAGTTTGGCCTTTCCCTGCCCACCTCCCCCCGCCCCCCCGACCCCAAGCGTGTTTTTCTACAAAGCATGTCTTATATCACTGAGCCTGGATGTTTACAAAGCACTTTAGTGAAGTTTAATGGAATTGTAGCACTAGAACTCCATCAGACGTTAACGGTTTTATACATGCATCTATCCTGAAAAGGAATGCTGATGTAAAAGCCGGGTGTAGGAGTTTTGGATATTTTGGTATTTGGGTTTGTCCTTAGCCCAGGTCTCACACCTAATTATGAATAATCAAAAACTGACTTTCTGTAATATCACGGTGTTCATTTTCTAATTTTTCTTTGACATTCTATTTCAAAAAAAATTCAAACATGCAGTAAAAAGTTGAAAGAATTTTACCGTGAACACCCACACAGTTAAACATTCATCGTTTGTCTATACTTGCTTTATCACACATTTGTCCATGAATCTATCTTATTTTTAGCAGATAGGAGTGTAAGGTGTATCATACCTTTAGCTGACATGCAGATAGTTCAAGAGAAAAGTTATATGTGTTTGGAGAGAGAAATAGAATAAAACACGGTAAAGAATTGTTAACACTTGGGGAATGTGGCTGAGAGGTATAGAGGATTCCTCCATGCCGTTATAGCCATCTCTAAGCCTGAGTTTATATCAAAGTGAAATTTGTTTTAAAATCTGAGATTATAAGAACATAAGTCTTCAAACTGCATTGTCATCAGAGTACTAGAGAATCCATTCTCCCTTGGAGATGAAAGAATTCTCCGTTGTCCCAAACTACAAATGAATAAGGTTTGTCATTGTCCTATTGGGAAGATGACATCTCTGCTTCCAACCTGTGTCTGTAGTCATGGAAGGTCTAGACTCAGCGCTAACCAGGAGAGAGATGTCTGTTTGACTTTAACCAGTAATATGCCCATTGGGCGTGTCTTTGTAAAGAAGACAGTGTAAATTTGGGCAAAAAAGAAATTAGGGGCAAGATAGTAGAAGACTTTTTATCTCTAGTATGATATTACATACAAAGTTTTTAAAAATAAAACTTAAGACATGTGCTTCAAAGGAAGCTCTTCCTGTTGAACATACACCCTGCCAGTACTGGCTCTTATTTCCATGAAGTCCCTTGAATGCTGTTATGTAGCTGATGGCTTCTGTCTTGGGCTGTTCTGTCTTCTATGACAGGATACCACAGTGGGGTAGCCAGCTATAAACAATGGCAGTTAGTCTTGCTTGTGGTTGTGGAAGCTGGGGAGTCTGCAATCGAGGGGCCTACATCTGAGCTGTGTCATAACCTGTTTGGAGGAATCATCTGGGGAGCAAGAAAGTGATGGGGGGACGAGGGTGAAGTCACAGTTTTGTCAGGAGCCCACTCCCACAACACTGGCCTGAACCCAACTCCTGCTTTCACAGGGTCACCTCTTAGGCCTCACCCCTCAGCAGCATTGTACAGAGGACCAGACCCCCACATATTCCACCTGTAGCGTACTGTATCTTGTAATGACAAGGTGGAGAAGCCAGGTGGAGCAGCATAGCATAATGCTGATCTTGGGCAGCTTCCTTTGAGGGATTATGTATTGGAAGCAATTTTCAATAATCAGGGATGATGGTTGCATAGACTAAAGTAAAAATAGGGAGTCATTATGATGGAGAACAGAGAGATTGAGATTCAGTCTTGGAGAAGTACCCAAGTCTTAAGTCATTCATGTGCAGAAGAAAAAGAAGAGAATCTAAACTAGATGGTTCTAGCAAGAAAAAAAAAAATTAATGTTTTATGAAAAACAGTGACAAGCATTGTTTCGATGGCAAGTGAAGAGCAACAGAGTACTGAAGAGAAGAGGCTACCAAGAAGAAAAGGAAAAGAAAGAAAGAAAGGGAAGAAGGGAAGATTTTGAAAGCTTAGACCTGTAAGTGGGAGGACCAGGAAAGTCAGAGGCAGTAATAACTTGATGTGCTGTGGCCTTGTGCCTGAATCGGGCCGTTTTGTGCTGAGAAAGACAGTGGACTGATATTGTAATGTGTTTTACATCTGTTAAACTGTAAAGCTGGAGTACAAAATCACGAGGTATGTTGCCCAACCTTGGAGTACATGTGTTGGGACTGAAACTTCTCAGTTGTTGTTGCCCCTGTAGTGGATAGCAAGCCCAGATGCACACAGGGACCATGGCAGCCAACTCATCTAGACCAGTAGAGGATGTCAGTTGCCTCATCAAAGGATGAAAAGCAGAACAGATGAGACCGCTCTCCTGGCCAAGCTTTGCAGCAAGTGTACGAGTGTGGATACACTAAGGTGGACTTGGTCAGCCAGTGTGGATTTTCTCAACCCTGGAACAGTGAAGCTGACAATGTCTCAGAACTATCAGAGCCACTCAGGTAATACCCTTGAAACATTCTTTCCCACATCAGGGTCTCTAAGATGACAGCAAGAGATTGTTTCCCATCCCCTTGTGCTGATGTAGTGCAACAGCAAGGAGTGGCCCCCTCCTCCTGTGGACAAAGGAGAGGGAAAAAAACTGAAACATTTGTACTACCTTCTTCCTCCATGCTTTGACCCTCCCCATTGTAATTAGAGGTCCACATGGGTATGCATCCCTCTCAACCATGAAGATACTATTAAATAAAATTAAAAATTAAAAAAAAAAGGGAGGATGAGGAGCCAATGTGGTGGCATACCAGGCTAATCCTTAACCTGTGGCATTGGCATCCTGCATGGGCACCACTTTGTGTCCTGGCTACTCTACTTCCCTTTCTTTCTTTTTTTTTAAGATTTATTTTTATTTTTTATTATTTTTTATTGGAAAGGCGGATATACAGAGAAGAGAGACAGAGAGGAAGATCTTCTGTCCGATGATTCACTCCCCACGTGAGCGCAACGGGCCGATACTATGCCGATCCGAAGCCAGGAGCCTCTTCCGGGTCTCCCACGCGGGTGCAGGGTCCCAAAGCTTTGGGCCATCCTCGACTGCCTTCCTGGGCCACAGGCAGGGAGCTGGAAGGGAAGCGGGGCTGCCAGGATAGAACTGGCGCCCATGTGGGATCCCGGGCATGCAAGGCGAGGACCCCAACCATTTGTGCCACCGCGCCAGGCCCTCTACTTCCCTTTCAATTCCTTGCTTATGGAAAGGAAAGCAGCAGAGGATGACCCAAGCCCTTGGTCACCTGCACCCACATAGGAGACATGGAAGAAGCTCTTGTCTCCTGGCTTTAGATTGGCTCAGGTCCAGCCATTTGCTATAATTTGGGGGGTGAAGCAGCAGATGGAAGAGTCTCTCTTTCTCTGTCTCTCTCTCTCTCTGCCCGTGTGTGTGCACACACACATGCAGGTGTGTCTTGTCTATAAATTATCTTTTAAATAGAAATAAATAAATCGGGCCAGGCATGATAGCGTAGTGGTTAAAGTCCTCGCCTTGCACTCCCAGGATTCCATACGGGCGCCATTTCTAGTCCTGGCAACCCCGCTTCCCTTCCAGCTCCCTGCCTGTGGCCTGGGAGAGCAGTTGAGGACGGCCCAAAGCTTCGGGACCCTGCACCCGCGTGGGAGACCTGGAAGGAGCTCCTGGCTCCTGGCTTCAGATTGGCTCAGCTCTAGCCGTTGTGGCTGCTTGGGGAGTGAATCATCGGATGGAAGATCTTCCTGCCTGTCTCTCTTCCTCTCTGTCTATCTGACTTTCCAATAAAAATAATAAATCTTAAATAAATATATTTTTAAAATAAATATTTTTTAAAAAAGAGCTGGAGAATGTCCTCAGATACCACCTGTCCTTTTCTTACTTTCATGACTAATAATTGCAAGATAAACCCGCATTTCCCAAATAGGGTTGTTCCAGCATGTTATATGTCTGTGATAAAAGTACATGTAACCAGAACATTGTAAGAGATGCCATATATGCTCTGTCAGTGATTTTTTTTTTAAGATTCATTATTTATTTTAGTTGGAAAGTCAGACTTTACAGAGAGACAGAGAAATTTCTTCCATCCTCTGGTTCACTTCCCAAGTGGTTGCAATGGCTGGAGCTGAGCTGACCTGAAGTCAGGAGCCAGGAGTTTCTCCTGAGTCTCTTATATGGGTACAAGGTCCCTAGGCCTTGGGCCGTCCTCTACTACTTTACCAGACGAAAAGCACGGACCTGGAGGGGAAGTGGGGCAGCTGAAATGTGAACCAACACTCCTATGGGATCCTGGCACATACAAGAGGAGGACTTTACCCACTAGGCCATCGCACTGGGCTCTTCTCAGTGATTCTTAACACATATTAGTAACTAAAAACTCAGGTTTCTGAATAAAAAAGGTCCATTTATTTGCATCAGCTTGCTGTGTGGCAGACATACTCACTTCTGTTCCCAGAGCACACCTTATTCTATCTTCCCAGTTTTGCTCCTGTCACAATGTGAGTTTGCTGATTAACGCTTCCTAGAAAGAGAGCAGCTTTCCTTCCTCATTTCCTTACCTGCTTTTGGAAATGGTTTTTCGGCACTCCCCTAGTGTCACCCTAGTTTCTGACATACCTAAATCCTTTCTGCTTCAAGCCCTCTTGTTCTGTGCAGAATAGCCCTGTGTAGGAGACTCACAAATGTTCGGATAGCAGGGCTTGCGTAATTATCTGTCAGTCATAGTGTCTGCTGGTTCCCTCCCCTGCTTGTTCTCCATTACATCCCTGGCCTCTGCTCCAAGCCAATAATACAAAAACCTGTTAGCTTCTGATAATCATCATTATCACATCTTCTTTGTCGTTGTCGTCATTATCATCAACATCATCATCATCATCATCCTTGCTTTTTTCCAGGTTGTTCCCACATCATTTAGGGATGACCTCAGCCTAGGTAAACTATAGTTCATGGTTTACTTGGCAACAGAAAAATGGCAGTATCCCAAGTACATAGGATTGAAGTTTGGTTACTTTATGTCATTCTCTTGTTTCCCTCATCACAACATTTGTTTCTCTTTGAAGATCCTGTTGACCTAGGTGGAGCTCTGCTCCCTGGAGACCACCACTGCCATCAACTCCCCCGCCCGACACACACCCAGAGTTCCTTTCCTTTCTCACTCTTGTGATGCCTAAGTTTTCTGTTCCTAGGGTGTATTTCTTCTCTTCTAAAATCCAATTACGTTGTACCTTCTCAGGAATTCTTGAGCCATGCATTCCAAAAAGACAAGGTGCTCTAGGTCTTTGTTTTTGTGGCCATCCGCTGATTTACAACCCAGATGTCTGTAAATACTGAGTCTAGACGTGCCTGGAGCTGGGATCCAGTACCACAGCTAGGTCTTCCATGTGGGTGACAGAAGCCCAGGAACTTGAGTCACCACCGTTGCCCTCAGGGTCTGCATCAGCAGGAGCCGGAGCAGGGATTGGAGCTCAGGCACCCTGGTGTGGAACCTGGCTGCCTTGAACAGTAGGTTAAGTGCCTGCTCCCAGCTCTCTGTGTGTGGATGGTGTAGCACCATCTGTGACACCTTTTGGGAAGCATGGGCCAGCATGAATGCTGTTCTTAGACTCACTGTATGGAATTTTAAAATAAGTATTTGATTCTTTTTATTTTTTATTTTATTTATATCTATTTTTTTTTTTATTGGAAAGGCAGACTTATAGAGAGGAGAGACAGAAAGAGCTTCCATCGCTGGTTCACTCCCCAGATGTCCACAATGGCTGGAGCTGAGCTGATCTGAAGTCAAGAGCTAGGAGTCTCTTCTGGGTCTCCCACATGGGTGAAAGGTCCCAAGGCTTTGGGTCATTTTCTGCTGTCTTCCCAGGCCACAGGCAGGGAGCTGGATGGGAAGTGGAGCAGCCGAGACACAAACCGATAGCCATATGTGCTTGAAGGGAGAAGATTAATCAATTGAGCCACTGCACGGACCTATATGAATTTATTTTAATCAAGAAATTTTTGAGAAGAGGGTATTCAATGGTTAAGGTGGCTGCGTCCCGCACGGGCGTGCCTGTGTTCCAGCCCCAGATGCGTTTTCCAGCCTCTGTCTCCTACTGAGGCAGACCTTGAGAGACTGCACGTGATGGCTCAGCTAGCTAGGTTTCAGCCACCATTGTAGCTCCTGACTCCCTGCTTCCATCCCATCCCAGCCCAGCCCTGGCTGTGGTGGGCTCACAGGGAGTGAAATGACAGGTGGGAATTCTCTGTGCGTTTTTCTGACTCTTAAATAATTAAGATTTTGTAAAGGAACAAACAAAAAATACTTCTTGAAATACCTGCATGGTGTTTTCGTGATATGCATTTTCCATCAATTTCTTGAAGACTTTTTATATGTACAGATTTCGAGAAATCTTTTACCATTATTTTGGTAAAAATAAGTTTACTTATTTATCTTTAAATTCCACTTTCCAGGAACTTTTTGAAATACCTTTGTACTTAAGCAGGTGATATGTATAATTTGTGATAGTTTAGAATTTGGTGAGGTTGTTCTTATGATCAGTGTAATGATCCCTTCCATATCCAGTGGTGCACCACTTAATAGTGTTTTGGTTCACAATAGGTCACATACCCAGTAGTGGTTCCCTAGGATTGGATGGCCTGGGAATGTCACTGCTCTCTTAGTTTGTGGAAGTGTGCCATAGGAAGGTTGTCTAATGACAAAACTGCCTGACACTTTGCTTCTCAGAAGGTATGCCTATTGGTCAGCGATGCATAGCTGTGCGAAATGCTCGGTTCGGCTATAACCGTTATCGTCTTAGCACATCAGCATTCAAAACAGGTAATTTTAAAATTTGGAGTTTGTACGGTTGGCGCAAGTTCCAAGCCACAAGATATAGACAGCTCAGGGTTATGTTCATGTTTGAGAAATTTCATAGCTTGTCGAGGTTAATCGCACCGAGGAAGCTAATACTTTATATTCTAGACCATCAGATGCTGTTAGACACACGAAAGTAGAAACAGTGACAGTAGGAGCCATTTGTGCCCAGGGCCTGGTTTCAATGATCCGGCAGTGATATACACACCTGGTGGGTACTCCTGCCTGCAGCCTGCACACCCAGGTGCCTCCCTCCTGTCACTGCGTGAGGCCCCAGCAGTGAGCGTCAGAGCAGGCTTCAGTGTGCCTTGTGGCAGCTCTAATGAGAAATCGGTTAGCCACGGGACATCAGCAGCCACTTAGGGAATTCTGGTGTTATCCCAAAACATGTCACAGGATCTTACACTGCAGATCCAGGATGTATGAATCAAATGCCATGTCTGAGAATGCCAGGGAACAAAAGGAGACATCAGGGAATGCCATAAAGTAAGGACTAAATCCAAGCAGAAGGAGTCACATTCTTAGCCAGAGCGTTTCTCCGTGGCCGAGTTACCCAATTCCTGGTGGCAGTTGAGCAGGAGGGATAAAATGGAGTGGTGAGAAACGTGCTTTTACATGAGCGTTTTTGCTTTTTCAGAGTTGGCCTAAGTTCCTGTCATTTAGGTCAAGCAGGTGCTTCAGATTGATGGCCAAAAAGGAAATCAACATTGGGGAGAATAGTGAAATGCTCTTAATGGGACATGATTGGAGATGTGAGGCTATCGATGGCTAACGTTCGTAGGAACCCTGAAAGTCAACATGCTGGCTTTCCCGCTTCCAGTAGGATTCTTCTCTGCCTGGGGCATGACCGACTTTGTATTTCAATACTGTGTTACTGTTTCTAGAGCAGAATTTCTATTTAACTCTCAAATACAAAGACAGAAATGAAGGAGCTAGTTAAGTCTAAATAGCTTAACAAGAGTAGATGTTGGGATGTGCTATAATTGCTGAAATTAGTACAAATGTCTTTTGACTGTAGGCAACTTTCTAGCTTGCCTTGTACCTAGGCAAGTGTTAATACTGTTGGAAGAAAAGCAGCAGTAGCTGGTGGGCATTGTGGGCCTGGTGGTTAATGCTAAATTTGTGGTAACTATACCGGTATGGTGAGCTAGGGAGCTGAAGCCAGGGTGTGGACCTGGCTGGCTGGGCTAGACTGCAACATCTGCTAGCGACTATATGGATGGGCCATTCCAGGCCAGGGTGAAGCACATGCAAGTTCCAGGACTGGGAACAGGCCCAGTAGGAGAACTTTGGAAATGTCCCTGATGGGTTGTAGCTCCCACTGGTGAGTACGAAAACCAAGACTATGGGTGAACCAAACTGTAGCACCTTTTGGCATGCGTGTGGGCTGAGTCTGGTGATGGCAGTCTGAGCCAGGCTCCAGCATCTCCTGGTGCACAAGAGAACATGCTAGCCTAGGCCACAACACCCACTATTTCACATGAGAGCCAGTTCTAAGTACGAGCCAGGCTGAGCTAGGCTATAGTACTCACCAGTGGGTCAGAATAGGTGCAAGCCAGTCAAGCTAGGCTTCAGTACCCACCGGTGAGTGCCAGGATTGGGGGCAGGCCATATCATGCTATACCATAGCATCCACCAGCAACTCAAGATCCAGAGGTGGGAGTGGGCCTGGTAGGGGAACTTGGGGAACTCCCCTGATAGGCCTCAGCTCCTGCTGGTGAAAGCAAGAGTCAGAACTGGGAGCAGTCCAGTCCAGGCATCACCCTTCAATACCCCCTAGCAGGTGCAAGATCTATGGCTGGGAGAACTGTAGGCATTTCCCTGTTGGGCTGCAGCTCCTGTTGGTGAGCATAAGAACCAGGGCTGAGAGTGGACCGGGCCAGTCTGGTCAAAGCAGCAGCACTTGTTAGCGTACGTGCATACTGGGTCTGGGGGCAGGTCAGGCTGAGCTAAGCTATAGCACCCATGGGCGTACACAAGAGCCAGATAAGATATGGAATGGACTGGGCTAGACCACAGACATGCCAGCACATGCAGAAAATTGGGCTGGAAGCAGGCCTGTTGAAAGTTTTTGGAAGTCACACTAACTAGGCCGTGGTACCTGCTAAAGTATGTGAAGACCAGGCCAGTGTCGGGCTGGACTGGGTTAGGCCACAACACCCATTAGTTCCTGTGAAAGATGGGGCTGGGCGTGAAACTGACCAGAAAGCTGCATCCCATCGTTATGTGTGTTGACTGGTATGGGTGACAAGACCAAACCTGATCCTGCACTCGCTGGCACACACAGGAGTTAAGTGTGGAGTCACCGCAGGCAAGGTTTCTTGAGGGCCTGGCCAGATCGATTGCTAGGCTGAAATCCTGGCCACAGGGAAAATCACAATATATGTGGCTCGACCTTGGAGTGCATATGTCAGGACTAGGCCTCCTCAGTTGCTGGTGCCTGTGCAGTGGGCTGCATGGAGACATATCAACCAGCTCGTCTAGGCCAGCAGAGGAAATCAACTGCCTCATCAGAGGATGGAAAGCAGAACAAGTTGGACGGTTCAGGCGGCCAAGCTTTGCAGCAAGTGTCTGGGATATGTGGGACTTTGTCAACTACTTTGTCAACCAGTAGACTTTGGGAGGAATTTCTCAACCCTGGTGCAATGAAGCCAACAATGTGTCCAAAGCATCAAAGCCACTTGTGTTGTCCTTGGAACACTCGTCCCCACATCGAGGTCTCTGAGACCTCGTCAGAGGATAATCCCTGGGTGCTGATATAGTTTATCAGCAAAGAACATGCCCTTCCCTTCTCCTACTGTGGACATAGGAGAAGAAAAAAGCTGAAACTTTTTTCTTACCCACCTTCTTCCATACTTTGACTCCACCATACTTTGAGTGCATCTGTGTTGGAAGCCCACAAGGATGTGTAGCAGTCTTGGCTGCTCTGCTTCTAATCCAGTTCCTTACTAACGTACCCGGGAAAGTGGCAGAAATGGCCCAAGTGCTTGACCTCCTGCCCCCTTCAAGGGAGGCCTAACTGGAGTTCTCAGCGCCTGCCTTCCACCTTGACCTTGTCCCAGCTGTTGTGGTCATTTGGGATATAAACCAGCAATGGAAGATATCTCTCTTCCTGTCTTTGTGTCACTCTGCATTTCAGGTAAGTAAATCTTAAAGAAAAATGGTCACAGAGGGAAAAAGAGCAATTTTATGGCATCAGCATATCAGGATACATCATAATCCCAATGCCCAAAGTTTGGCACGGTGTCTGCCACCCTCCTCTCTGAGCAGACCTTGCCTGAATTGGCCATGTGCAGTTGCTGCGTGAGCCTGGCTCAGTTTCACCTACTTTGTGAAAGTACCCCATATTTTTTTTTTGGCATGGCATGCATGCCTTATCAATAAAAGTTAGCGGCTGGGTTAGTCTCGATGTCAGTTGAAAAGAATTCAGAAGATCCATTCAATGTGATGCTTAGTTTTGATGCATTTGAAACTCAGACTTCAAGCTCATCAAAAAATGCCTCTCTTGCCAAGTTAAAAAGCTGACGTTTCTTTCTCCCTTTCTCCTGGAAAGCATTAAAAAGCAGGCTTGTTTTGTTTTGTTTCCTCCAGAAAAGATAAAGCGAAAACCAATAACTAAAAAATTAACATCCTCGAGTTCAAATATGGAGCCTGTGAGTTTTAAAGTCTCCAAATTTAAATAAAGAGAGAGAGAGATTAGGTTTCCAGATTGGGAAAGGCTTATTTTAGTCCTTCATTTTCTTCCCTTTTCCTCCCCTCATTTTTGACCAAATGAGTTTATCCTTAGACATAGTTTTAGCTTCTTATATGGCTTGTGTGTTCTTGCCTCTTACAGCAATGATACATTGATTTCGTCATAAAATGTCTTGCACTGGGCGGCATTACTTTGGGATGTGCATCTGTGGGAGCGTGCCGTGGTATGCAGTAAGCGGGGCCATTAAGCGAGTTATCACCATCTGCTGCTACCTGCACTCATTCCCGCTACAGCATCATTGCTTTTTTTTTTAATTGCTGCCTCAGTTTTCTTCACTTAAAAAAAAAAATTGATGTCCATATCATGATTGTATTCACTTTTTTTTTTATTCGCCAAGTCGTGTGAAATATACTTGCAATGATATGGAATTCCTTCTGTGAGAAATTGAATCAAATGGATTAGTGGGACTTAAAAGGCATTTGAATGGACATATAAATTAAATTACGTGTAGACAACTATTTAAGGATAGCTTTTTCCTGTAAATTGATAAGAAATAAAGTCCTCAAATAAAGTCCCATTGTAGGAAAATTCTTTTATTCTTCCCCTCGATTTTTCCCAACTGGTCAGATGCACTGGAGGTTAAATGGCGACGCTCTCCATTTTACTGGACTGCACTGAGCCCAGCCCGGAGACACCCACCCCGCAGGTCATTAGGGCGTTCTGGGGAGGGGCTTATTAATACTTTGAAAAGGAAGCTTTTAAGTACAGCTTTTTTCAACCCCTATAGCTAGTTAAGAGTAATGAATTTAACTGAAATAGTAATTTCCTTTTTGTGCACCAGTTGAGAATACAAAGTTGAAAAGGCAAAGTACAATAACATGCAATTTGGGCAGCTAATTAAATTGTACTTTTGCTATTTGATAGTCTTTTCTGTTGAACCCTGGTTTATTTTTATAAAGTAAAGATTAGTTTTTCCTATCCATCTACATATTTATAATGAACATTTTCAGGGACAAAATCATTTGCATTTCAATTTGTGTGATCTTTGTTAATTTCGGAGGCATCAGAAAAACAATGTTATGAGTAAGGATAATGATCTCTTTCTCAGTTTGTTTTGCTTTGTTTTGTTTGTTTTGTTTTGTTTAAGGGCAAATCCTGAAGAGTTGCTTATAAATATGAAGCTTTTCCTTGTCAGGAGTTTCAGCTTTTCAAATCGCTTCCTGGAGTACCACCACTGAGAGTATCATCAGCTCACACAGGAGCAGGAAGGGCATGCGTTCTAGTCTAAATGACAAAGAGCAGTCTGCAGCCTTGTTACCTTTCTGGGCTATGAATGCCACCTCCTCCTTTTGCCATTCTGGGTATTTAAAATCTCAATTTTTGGGCCCCGTGTGATAGCATAGTGGTTACAGTCCTTGCCTGGCACTCCTGGGATCCCATATGGGGCCAGTTCTAGTTCTGGCAACCCTGCTTCCCATCCAGCTCCCTGCCTGTGGCCTGGGATAGCAGTTGAGGATGGCCCAAAGCTTTGGGACCCTGCACCCGCGTGGGAGACCTAGAGGAAGCCACAGGTTCCTGACTTTGGATCAGCTCAGCTCCAGCCACTGCGGCCACTTGGGGAATGAATCAGTGGCTGGAGGACCTTTCCCTCTGTCTCTCCTTCTCTTCTTTCCAATAAAAAAAATAAATCTTTAAAAAAATTAGCAAGTGTACATTTTGCAGATTTGCCAATCCCATTAAATTTTTCTGCTGCCCATGTATATTAATTTTATTTGCTGATTTTTATAGGCATGGTGCTTATGGCAATTTATCTTGAGCATAATCACAGCACAAGGGGCCTACTCAGGAAATTATGAATTGATAGAGTACCATTTTCTAAGAGAGTCCTTTCAAACTGTGGTGACTCGTTTGTTCTTAAAGCTTCTAACCCAGGACACAGAGGTTCAGCCTAGTGGGTATGATGCCCAATTCCCACATGGCAGCAGATGCCCTGACTTCTGACCCTGGATGTCTGCTGCTGACCCTAGGAGACAGTGGGGTCACAGAAATAAGTGCATTCCTGGCTCCTGGCTGCAGCCCTGGGTCAGTTTGGGTCTCACTGGAAGTGAACTTAAGTAGTGAGTTAGTGCTTGGGAATGCCTTTCACCTCCTGTTCAGCATCTCCAATACATTTTTGAAAGTAAGCAAAAACTAAAGTTTCCCATCTATTACTGATAAGCACTTTTGTAAAATAGAATGAATTACTAGAAAAAAAAACAGAAAAAATACACACATATGTACAAAGTACATGCTTATTTTTTTAAAAAAAGATTTATTTTTATTATTTTTTCATTGGAAAGGCGGATATACAGAGAGGAGAGACAGAGAGCAAGATCTTCCATCCGATGATTCACTCCCCAAGTGAGTGCAACGGGCTGATACTATGCTGATCCGAAGCCAGGAGCTTCTTCCGGGTCTCCCACGCGGGTGCAGGGTCCCAAAGCTTTGGGCAGTCCTCGACTGCTTTCCCAGGCCACAGGCAGGGAGCTGGAAAGGGAAGCGGGGCTGCCAGGATTAGAACCGGCGCCCATTTGGGATCCTGGGCGTGCAAGGCGAGGACCTTTAACCACTTGCGCCACCGCGCCGGGCCCCATGCTTATTTTTTTATTATCAGATCCATCAAATGTAAAGTTCTATTTCCCAACTTCTATAAAAGTTAATAAAATATTTGTTCCCAGCTTTTCTACTTATCTCAAGTAGCAGTTTACGAATCATCTCAACTCTGGGTTACACTTTTGGATAGCACCAAAGAAATACATTTCCTTATTAGATCACCATTACGTTCTTTAGAAGGCCTTGCTTATTATTCTGTATCTACTCACTGCAATGGGAGGCCATTCCCAGACATTGTTTTTGAGAAGTGTATTTGTTGATGTTCCCGGCTGGTACAAGTGCTTAATTCCTTGGAGTTTTTATTTCTTGTTCCCTGGTGGTTAAATCCAGGAGAAGCACCTTTAATAAAATACCACAATACGCCCTCATTGTATTAGGACACATCACATCAGTTCTCGGTGATGGTAGCTTTGACCACTGGCTGAGATAGAGTCTGTGATTTTTCATGCTAGAAGATGGACTCATGTACTGATTTCTGTCCAGTTGGACAAACATTACCAAGTTCCAGGCTGTGGGCTGCAGAACTGAGTAAGACCCCAATGCCCTTGTTCTCTGGGTGCTGGCAGCCTTAGAGAGAAGACAAATGCATAAACCACAGGATGTCAGCATAAAATAGATTATGGTATCTGCTGTTGTAGTCATCTCTGAGAAGGGAAAAATGCCAATCCTGAGTAGGGAATCACAGAACAATTTCTGTCAAGAATGGGGTAGGTTTAGACAGGAGAAGGTGTTGGGTTGGGAGGGAAGGAATCATTTAATCGAAGATTCAGTGACAGGAAAAAACACTGGAATGGCAGGTGTTGTGGAGCAGTATGTTCAACCGTGGCCTAGGACACCCACATCCTGTGTTGGAGTGCCTGGTGTGAGTTCCCACTATTCCATGATTCTAATCCCACTTCTTGCAAATCCTCCTGGGAGAGTAGATGAAGATTCAGATCCTTGAGAACTATCACCTGCATGGGGACCCAGGTAAAATTGCTGGGTCTTGGCTTCTGCTTGGCCCAATATTAGCTGTCACAGGAGTTTGAGAAGTGAACCAGTGGGTGGAAGATACTTTTTTCTCTTTGTGTCGTATACCTTTCGAATAGATAAATTTTTTTTTTTTTACTTTTTTTTTTTTTTTTTTTTTTAAAGATTTATTTTTATTATTTTTTCATTGGAAAGGCGGATATACAGAGAGGAGAGACAGAGAGGAAGATCTTCCATCCGATGATTCACTCCCCAAGTGAGCGCAACGGGCCGATACTATGCCGATCCGAAGCCAGGAGCCTCTTCCGGGTCTCCCACGCGGGTGCAGGTTCCCAAAGCTTTGGGCTGTCCTCGACTGCTTTCCCAGGCCACAAGCAGGGAGCTGGAAGGGAAGCGGGGCTGCCGGGATTAGAACCGGCGCCCTTATGGGATCCCGGGCGTGCAAGGCGAGGACTTAACCACTTGCGCCACCGCGCCGGGCCCCGAATAGATAAATTTTTAAAAAATGTTTTTTGAGTTCTGAAAATAGCAGAGTGGTTGAAGGAATGGATATCCTGGGAAGTAAAGGACAGATGCTGAGGGCCTCAAAAACTTGACCTGGGAGTGTAGGCTTTGCCCCTGATGAAGATGTTACAGTTCGTCCTACCTTGATGTCTAAATTGGGGTAATGGGACAGGAGTATCAGAATGTGTCTAGACTCATTAGAGGTAAAGAATGAGGGGGAAGAAGAAGTGGATGTACCAAGGTACATCTTAAGTGGTGAGAGTGCAGTCAAGATGGGGAGCTACAAGAGGGGAAGCCAAGAGCAGGTCAGACCGGAGGAGGTAGGAGTGGCAATGAGAAGTGTTTATCAGCCCAGGAGAAGTGTGGCTGTGGGGTTGCCAGTCTTAAGAGGTTTGTGAACACGTGTTTGTTGGCCTCTGCATGTCCTGGGCTCTATGCTGGGTACTAGGAGCGTTGTTTGTTGCCGCATCAGATCTTCACAAGCAGCCCTGTGATGTGGATGCAGATAGATTGATTTCAGACAGTGAACTGAGACCAAAGTTAATTAGCCTGCAGGAGGCCCCGCAGCCAGTCGTGAGGGCCAGAGTTCCATCCGCATTAGAGCCTCCTCCACTGTTCCTTGAAGGAGATAATCATGGCATTAGGATGGAACATGGGTATCCAGGGAATGGGTATGGGCAGGGAAAAATCACGGACAGAAACTTGGAAAGCCTGTGACTGTGGAAAGGTCGAAGAAGGCACTTTCATGGCCTGGGGTGAGAGGGTCAAGGGACAGTGGCAGGTGAGCAGAGTTTCAGGAACTTAGTTGATGGAGCAGTTGCAGTGAGATACAGAGAAGGGCAAAGACTGACGTACTCCTGATGGAAATGGCTAGATCCTCACCCAGAGGAGTCCGGGGGACGATGAAGATGCTGTGCACTGACTTGCAGATGGAGCCTGGGACCTGGTGAAAGGATACTGTGCAGCAGGAGTGAGTGGCTTAGATGCAGACCTTGCCAGGGTCCAAGGAGAGAAGAGCTGAGTGAGGGAGAGCCCGCTGCATGGGCCCCAGGATGGACAGGAACCAGTACAGCAATGACCAGCAGCTACCCACCATCTGGAAATCTAGACAGAGTTTGGGAGCTGCAATGTCCCACTGGCTTCCTACTTTTAATGTATAAAGTTTTAAGGTTAATGTTACATTAGCAAAGCTTTTGGGCTTTGTATTTTGTTTGTTTGTTTTTTAAAGATTATTTATTAGAAAGTCAGATATACAGAGAGGAGGAGAGACAGAGAGGAAGATCTTCTGTCCGATGATTCACTCCCCAAGTGAGTGCAACGGCCGATGCTATGCCGATCTGAAGCCAGGATCCAGGAACTACTTTTGGGTCTCCCACACAGGTGTAGGGTCCCAAAGCTTTGAGCCGTCCTCGACTGCTTTCCCAGGCCACAAGCAGGGAGCTAAATGGGAAGTGGAGCTGCCAGGATTAGAACCGGCACCCATATGGGATCCTGGCGCGTTCAAGGCGAGGACTTTAGCCGCTAGGCCACACCGCCAGGCCCTGTTTGTTTGTTTTAATGTGTTTAAGGGTTGATTGATTGCTTTTTTGGAAACGCAGAGTTAAATTTTCTTTAATTTGAAAGGGGATGTTAAAGCGAGAGAATGCCAGTGAGAAAAGTTTAACATCTGCTGATTTCACTCCCCGAACGACCACAACTGGGGAGGCTAGGTCAAGTTGAAGCCAGGAGCCTGAAGTTTCTTCTAAATCTCCCATGTAGATTCAAGGGCTCAAACACTTATGTCATCCTCTGCTGCTTTCCCAGGCACATTAGCAAGGAGCTGGATGGAAAGTGGAGGAGCCTGGACTCACATGGGTACCCAAGTGGGATGCTGGAATCTTAGGCTGCAGTTTTACCTGCTGTGCATCAGCCCTGCTTATATGGGGTTAGAATAAAGAAAACAAGAGTTGTATGATTACTTTTCTGTTCAGTAAATCAGCAAGTAAAAACTATTCTAGGGACCAGCACAGTGGCTCAACAGGCTAATTCTCCACTTATAAGAACAAGGATCCTATATGGGTGCTAGTTCATGTCCTAGCTACTCCACTTCCTATACAGCTCCCTGCTCATGGCCTGTGAAAGCAGTCAAGCATGGCTCAAGTCCTTGGGACCCTGCATCCATGTGGGAGACACATAGTAACTCCTGCTTGTGGCTTCAGATCAGATCTGCTCTGTCCATTGTGCCCATTTTGGAGGTTATCCAGCAGATGGAAGATTTTTCTCTCTGTAAATCTGCCTTTCGGGTAAACATAAGTAAATCTTTAAAAAAAAAAAAAAACTTCTGGGCCCAGCACAATAGCCTAGCAGCTAGAGTCCTCACCTTGCACCAGCCAGCATCCCCTATGGGCGCCACTTTCCCACTCCCTGCTTGTGGCCTGGGGAAGCAGTCGAGGACGGCCCAAAACCTTGGGACCCTGCACCCTGGCTATAGGCTTCAGATTGGCTCAGCTCTAGTCATTGTGGCTGCTTGGGGGGTGAACCACCAGATGGAAGATCTTCCTCTCTGTCTCTCCTCATCTCTGTATATCTGACTTTCCAGTAAAAATAAAATAAATCTTAAAAAAAAAAAAAAACTGTTCTAAATTCCCCTGTGCCAAGCTCCCGGGCATCCACATATTTTGCTCTAGGGGAATTTTGTTAATTAAATGCATTACTGCAGTAGCATCCCTTGTATAGGAGTCAGAGAAGACCTCAGCCAGAACTCTTTCTCATGAAAGTGAAAAACAATACTAGTACCACGTGGGAAGAAACTTGAGATGCTTGACTTGTAGAGCAGGGAGGTAGCTTTGGAATTGCTGATCTTATTTCAACAAGCAGTCCTCAAACACTTAAGATCCACCTTATTACCACCAGCAGGGCTGGCAAGTGAAGTTTCTTTTTTTTTAAGATTTATTTTTATTGGAAAGGTGGATATACAGATGGATATACAGAGAGGAAGATCTTCCGTCTGATGATTCACTCCCCAAGTGAGTGCAACGGCCAATGCTATGGCCTCCCGCACGGGTGCGGGGTCCAGGCCACAGGCAGGAAGCAGGATGGGGAGCGGGGCTGCCGGGATTAGAACCGGGGCCCATGTGGGATTCCAGGCATGCAAGGTGAGGACCTTAACCACTGCACCATCACGCCGGGCCCCGGCAAGTGAAGCTTCTAATGGAGCTGTTAATTCCTACCCTCAAGAAGCTCACAGTCTAGCGGGAAGATAAAGCACCATTTGAGGACAGAGGGGGAAGGGAAGTGTGAACTTAACAGCGTCTGGTTTCTTTGGGACATTCTTCTGACCACTTTATGGAGAGACAGAGCAGGTGTGTTGTATACACAGGAGGCAGAGTGAGAAAGCCGGTGGCCAGGGAGGCGTGTCCTGTGCCTGTCTGATTTCTTCTGTGGCCCCAGTGCACTGGCAGGGCTGGGAAGGTTGAGAAGAGGGGGGCAGGGCTTCCAAAGCAAAGTGGAAAGAGACAGGGTTGCAAATAGTACCTGACGTTGTTGTTCTCTAACTTCTGTGGCCAGGGCTTTTGTTCATTGGCTCAGGACAGCTGTAGTTGTTTGTGTTTTGTGGGTGTGTTGATTTGTGGTGTTATGAATCACCATGAGACCCCACCAAATGTACTCTGGAGCCAAATATGATTTCCTTTGAGTTATTCAGACCATGATTACCTGCAGTGTTATAAAGCAGAAAGGAGCACAGGTATTGGAATTGAAAGACAAAGATTTGGGTTCTGACTTGGCCACTTACATGTATAATTTTGGACAGATCACTAAATTTCTTTGAGCTATGTGTTATAACTTGATATCTTTATGGGATTACAGAGGGGTGCAGGCAGCATTATTTATTAAAAAGAAAAAGCTTTAAATATACATGTATTTATTTGAAGGAAAAGGCTCTGTGTTCACTATAATGGCAGTTGTGTTTACAGAATGCTGACATTTATTAAATCATCACCGCTAATTTTCCTTAGAAGTGCTTGAGAGGCTGCTTCAAGGTATGCATCAGGAGAAAACTTAGTTTTTGTCCTTAAAAGTTTATAAAAATTCTATAATCGGAAAGGTGGAAGAGTGAGCAAATGAACAATCTTCCATCCATTGATTTACTCTCCAAATGCCCTCTGCAGCTGGAGTGAGCCAGACTAGAGAGTCAGAACCCAGACTGGGACCTCCCTGGCACGGCACCTGCCACCTCCCAGGTGTGCGTCAGCAGGAGCCTGCCTCGGAAGGAGACTAAGGACTCAGGCTCTGGCACGCTGGCGTGTCAAGTGGCAAATGAACCACTGCACCCAACGCCCCTCCCCCGCCAGATGATGATTATTTCCTCTGTTGACGTTCAAGTTAAACGGGCTTCACTTTTTTAAGATTTGTTTTATTTATTTGCTCTTCCCTCTTACGCCAGATACAGGAAGGAAAAAAAAAAAAGATTGGTCTAACCCACTACACTAAAATGCCAGCCTCCTTGTCTTTCTTTTAATATGATTTTTAAAAAGATTTAGCTTTTGTTTCTGTTGGGAAGTCAGACATACAGAGAGGAGGAGAGACAGAGAGGAAGTTCTTCCACCCATTGACTCACTCCCTAAGCAGCCACAATGGCTGGAACTGCGCCAGTCTTAAGCCAGGAGCCTGGAGCTTCAAGCCTCCCTCAGGTTTCCCACATGGGTGCAGGATCCCAAGGCTTTGGGCCATACTTGACTGCCCTCCCAGGCCACATGCAGGGAGCTGGGTGGAAAGCAGAGCTGCCGGGATTAGAACTCGCACCCATATGGGATGCTGATGCATGCAAAGTGAGGACTATAGCCGCTAGGCCACCGCGCCAGGTCCTCTTTTAATATGATATTAAGTGACTAAATAAAAGTTCCTGAGACTTCCCAGAATTTGAAAGTTCTGGGATGGAACCAGGAATCTTTTGTTGAAGGTTGAATAAATTAGGACATTTATTTAATAAAAACACTGTAAAAGTGGCCTGACCACTTTGAAGGAGACACTGAGCATGCAATACCTGCGATGGGAAAATGTAAGGTGACTGGGAGAGTTACTCTGGGTGCAATGAGCTCTCTCCTCAGCATCCTACATTGTGAAGCAGGTGATGGCAGGGCCTTGGCAGCAACACACGTAAGAGGATCGTGGTCTGTGCGACAGGCTGCCCGGGTTAGAACCCTGCCGTGGCTCTGTCGGCCTTCTGCCACTTTCTGAGCCTCAGAGCCTCCATCTAAAGCTGCTTGCTGGGTCTCACTAGGTGATTTGGAAGTCTACATTTCCCAATAATCAATATTATTAGAATTATGCCTGCCCTGTAGTAAGTACTAAAATAAGTGGTGGCTGCAGCTATTTGTTATATCGTATGGTCCAGGCATTTGGTATAACAAGGTTTCGTACATCATTCTTGGCAAGCCAAGTTGGGGGAGAGAAAGAAAGTACTCAAGGACCAGGGTGCTGTCATCAACACGAGCTGAAAGATAGGGGCCTGTTAGTTGCGTTCACAGAGCAAGGAGGATACCAACCTGATTATGGGATCTGATGCAGATGAATTCTCCCCAGCCAAAGTATGTTATTTGGATTTAGAAATACAACATTCCATTTCCATTTTCATTTTATACATAAATAAGTATAGTGGGATTCAGAGAGGTGTGACGGGTTTTCCCTAGTCCCTCCCCTGCTGTCCTACCATTTGTCGTCTCTGCGAGGGAAATTGGTCTGTGAGCCCAGCCAGTCAGGCAAGGCTTTTTCCATCTCCTGGACTCTTGGAGTAGCTTTCGGGCCCTCGGCACTTTCCCAGCAAAGCCAATCTGGGTCAGGAGGAAACGTGCGTTCCCCTTTTCCCGACTCCTTCAGGGAAGCAGCAGAGGACTGTTGAAACACTGAACCTTTTCAGAAGCCAGGCCGAATAAGGTCGGCCGTGGTCGGCCTGGCCTGGGCATGCGTCACAATGTGGAACTCTGTATTTTATTTCATAAGGAGACAAGCACAGTGCAAAGAAAGATACCATCGAGGGTCCCATCAGTGTTGCATATTTCTGTTGGGCCCTTGGGCGTCGTGTACAACCAATGCAGTATTTTGCATGGTGGAACGTATGGGGGGAGTGCATGTGAGCAGTACACCTTGTGGAGGAAGATGCTGAAACCCTGAAGCTGCCATTCCCAGACGGGAAATGGAGTCGTTTGCAGGTTGCTTCTCTAAACTTCGCTCTGTGGTGTCTTCTGCTTCCCAGTCGATGAGTAGAAAACACTGCACACAGGTTACTTGCATTTCCTTTCTGTTCTGAGCTGGAACATGGTAATCCCACAAAGTACAAGAAGAGAAAGTTGAAGCTGAGATGCTGTTAAGAATGTAAATAACATAATAGCACTGATGATTGTGATAGCTCGTGTCCCTCATTAATGAGTCTGACATTCCACCGAGGAGTCAGATGGAGAAGCCCATTATCCTGAGACTTGACAATGATAAAAATAAACTGTACTCATGGAAATTAAAGAAAGAATATGTCCATTGTTAAGCTGGGTGAACAATGCATGTCTCACTTCTTTCCTCTGGATTTTGGTTTAATGAAATGTAGCCACATCAAAATTATGTTGGATTTAATATTATGTTAGTAGTTTATTTTCAAGATAAAAGTAATAAAAGTATTTGGAAGATTATCCTATCTTCTGTGAGTGCCTCAGAATCCTGGCTTCTGAGCTGTGGCTTCTTTGA